GGGAACCGGGTGGAGGGGGGAAGAAATGAGGAACCTTTGTAATAATATGAACAATAAAGATTGATTAAAAAAAAAATAGCCAAAAATATAGAAACAACTCAATGTCTATTGACTAATAAATTGATGTATAAAATGTAGTATAACCAAACAATGGAATATTTGTTTGTAACAATAAAATATTTATTGATAACAATAAAAATAAAAAAATAAAAGCCATATGCTCTAGCTGGTTTGGCTAAAAGGATAGAGCATCGGCCTATGGGAAAAAAAAAAAATGATGCCAGTCAACAAAAGCCTGGTGCCCAGGTGGCACCCTGAGAATGAGGTGTGCTTAGAAGGGAAGGTCTTCCCTCATTCCAGGCTCCCACTCAGCTCTCCCTGCCTTGGGGGGGCCCTCCCTGGGGCACCCCATGACGTGCCCCTCCGGCAGGCCTGCCTCATTTCCTGCAGGCACTTCACGCTCTGAGCTGACTCAGGTGATGGCTGGTTCATTCGTTCCTTTAGTTGTTTATTGGCCGTCCCCCTTCTCTCAGCTGAAACACCGCCTCGGGGAGGGGAGGCGGGGGTGTGTCTCGGTGGCACTGCGTACCCCGTGCCCACAGCGCGCCCTGTGCGGGCGGAGCTCGCTGCAGTGTCTCTGCCTTTAACCATCCCCACGTGAGGCCGGGCCTGTGCTACAGAGGCAGCTGGTCCCGAGCCAAGGGAGGGAGGAGGCAGCAGCTCTCTGACCAAGCGTTAGTCACCGGCCCGGCCCGATAGTGCAGGAGCCGGTGCGGCCGGAGCAGGGGCTGTGCCGGGCTGTCGGAGCCTCCGGCGCCAGGGTCGGGCACCACGGCTCTGGGCCCGGCCCTCCGGTCCTGGTGGTGCGGGCGGCGGCCTGCAGTCCCGAAGGACATCCCCCGGCGAGAGAGAGAGAGAGAGAGAGAGAGAGAGAGAGAGAGAGAGAGAGAGAGAGAGAGAGAGAGAGCTTTGCCGCCTGGTCGTGCATGAGGCGTGGGGTGCCAGGGGCAGATCCACAACCAGCTTCTTCCGCTGGACCCTCCGGGAAGCGCCTCTTGGGATGTGGCCGCTGTGTCGGGGGCATCTGTGCTCCCATAAATCTTGCCGCTATTGCTGAGAGCTTCCTGCACATGCACCCTGAAGCCTTTCCCGGCCCCGTGGGAGAGCCTGTTTCCTTTGATAGCTTCCTGGCGGCAGCCGGCAAGCCCACCCCTTTGCAGCCGGACGCCCACGACTGGGCTGGAGCGGGGGCCGGTGGGGGCCACTGGGAAGCTAGGGCAGAGGCAGCGGCCGGCCTCTGAGCGGCACGAGGGCAGCTTCCTCCTGGGAGAAGCGGGAAAAGCGCAGTCCACGTTCAAAGGGCGAGGCAGGGTCTGAGGGCAGTGGTGTCCAGGAAGCATCTTATGCGTGGGGAAGCTGAGCCGATTCCTGAGGGCCGGGCGGGGCCCTGCACCCAGCTCTCCCCTGGCACCAATGGGGACCACAGGCACAGGTCTGGCCTTCACGCTGATGAAGTCCACGGGGCAGGTACCTGCTGTGGGGAACGAGGGCAGACAGAGGCAGAGAAAGACAAGACTGCGGGAGAGAGACCAACACTGGGAAACCGAGATCTGGAGACACAGGCCCAGCGATGTGCACACAGACAGGGACAGACGTAGACAAAGAAAGCGCACAACGGAGACTGACAGCAGCCACGTAGCAACGGAGGTTTTGAATCTGAGACTTGAAAGACTGAGACAGGAAGTTAGAGAGAGCCCTCGCCAGTGTGGCTCAGTGGATAGAGCACCGGCCTGCGGGCTGAAGGGTCCCAGGTTCAATTCTGTTCAAGGGCACATGCCTCGGTCGCAGGTTTGATGGGAGGCAACCAACTGATGTGTTCTCTCTCTGACATCAATGTTTCTCTCTCTCTATCTCTCTTCTTCCCTCCCTTCCTCCCTCTCTAAAATTCAATGGAGCCCTAACCGGTTTGGCTCAGTGGATAGAGCGGCGGCCTGTGGACTCAAGGATCCCACGTTCGATTCTGGTCAAGGGCATGTACCTTGGTTGCATGCACATAGCCAGTGGGGGGTTGCAGGAGGCAGCTGATAGATGTTTCTCTCTCATCGATGTTTCTAACTCTCTATATTTCTCCCTTCCTCTCTGTAAAAAAATCAATAAAATATATTTCTAAAAAATAAAAAAATTCAATGGAAAAATATCCTCAAGTGAGGATAAACAACAAGAGAGAGAGAGAGAGAGAGAGAGAGAGAGAGAGAGAGAGAGAGAGAGAGAAGGGGACAGAGAGAAACACAAGAGGGAAGACAAAAGGACACTGACAGAGGAAGGGAACGGTAGAGAAGGAAGGGGAGACAGAGTCAGGCGGACAAAGAGACAGACATGAGATGCTGAGGGAGGAGAGAGGAGAGAGGCCCCGGTCAGCCTGCAGGCGGTGAGTAACTGGCCACTTATTACGGACTCTGTAGACCTCCCATCTCCTCCTTGCCCAGCCCCCTGGGGCTAGCCTGCTCCCTTCACGCTGGTCCTGCTGGGTGTGTGTGCTGCATACCCGCCCGTGTGTGGGCAAGGGCCCCCTCAGTGCGGCAGGGGATGCACTCGGGGAAGGAAGGAGAGGCGGCGAGTGGCCACAGGACACCTCCCACCCCCCACCAGGCACGTGCTTGACAGCCGAGGCCAGAGGAGCCGGACACCCTGCTCGCCCCGCTCTGGGCATTCCCGGAGGCGGTCCCCACAGGAGCACTTGGGGAGAGGGATGGTGCGGAGCAGAGAGAGAGATCAGCTTATAACAGTGCCCGGGTCTTTCCCACGAGATCCTGGAAGCCTCCCTGTGCAGCAGGGGCGAGGTCTGGGGGCAGAAACCCTCTCTCAGGCACAACAAGGAATGTTCTGACTCAGGGGCTCCGGGGTTGAGTGGCCTCTGGGTCAGCTGATGGCGGTGCTCAAAGGGTGTTTCTGGGACCCGGTCTCTCTCTGTCTCTTTTTTTCCTGCTTTCCTGTGCATCCTTTTCTTCTTCTTCTTTTTTTTAATTTTCCCACATATTTTATTGATTTTTTACAGAGAGGAAGGGAGAGGGATAGAGAGCTAGAAACATCAATGAGAGAGAAACATCGACCAGTTGCCTCCTGCAAACCCCCCACCGGGTTGTGAGCCCACAACCAAGGTACTTGAGTCCACTGAGCCCACAACCACGGAATCAAACCTGGGACCCTTCAGTCCGCAGACCGACACTCTATCCACTGAGCCGAACCGGTTTCGGCCATTCTTTTATTCTTAGGCAGCACCTTCCTCTGTGTTCCCCAGAGTCAGACCCCGCGACAGTGGTTTGTTTGGGAGTGATCTCAGAAAACTCTGGGAGGAGAGGGGCCACGGGGGCGGGAGAAGGAAGGGAGGCAGCGGTGACGCACTGTCATGTTTCAGGGCTCAGTCTGGGGGGCTTGGAGGAGATGGTGAGGGACTTCACCCAGGCTTACCTCATCTGAGGGGCAGCAAAGACGGGGTGTTAGCCTGCTCTCCCTGAGCAGTCACTGGTTCAGGGTGTGAGTTATGTGGCACATCCAGACTTCCCTGCACGCGGGCAGAGCAGGGAGCAAAGTCCTGCCAACCCCTCCATCTTGTACTGTTGGCCTCCGGGACCGCGAGGCACTGGGTTCCTGCTGTTTGCAGTCACCCAGCTCGCGGTCGCCTGTTACAGCAGCCCGAGCAAACGAATACGCCCTCTGTATCAGCTTCCTGTCTTCTCCCGCCTTCTCCACCTTCTCCCTGTCATCCTCCATCGGTTCCTTCATTTACCAAAACTCTCCTAAGGCTCCACTCACCTGTTGTCTTCCTCTAAAAAGAAAACGGTGTGAGTCAGAAATGAAACACCCATGACTCTCGCCACGAAGAGATGTGGCCCACAAAACACTGAGACACAGAAAACAAGATGATGGTTTACAATTCTTATGGGACTGAGGACCTTTCTCTAAGACAGTGGTCAGCAAACCGCGGCTCTCGAGCCACATGCGGCTCTTTGGTCCCTTGAGAGTGGCTCTTCCACAGAATACCGCGGCCTGGGCGAGAGCATTTTGAAGACGTGAGAGAAGAAAGCGGGTGCAGGCGGCCCACCAGGCCGTGCGGATGTGGCCACCCTGCCCTTGGCCCTGTTCTCTCCCCTCACATCAGTCTGGCTAGACTCTCAGTACCTACAGACTCGGACAGATTCTCCCTGAGTCGTGGGAAAGAGCCAGCACAGGGAGAAAGGTCATTGTGGACAGAAGAAAGAGCCGGTGCAAAGGTCCTGGGGCAGAACCGTGCTTGGCATGTTGGAGGAACCGTAAGGTGGCTCTTGTGGCTGCAGCAGCGTGAACGAGGAGGAGAGAGGGAAGAAGTCTGGAATCTGGGTTTAAGATCTGACCTCCTGGGGCAGAGGGTGCCCTGAACAAGACCGGGTCCCTCCAGGAACCCCGGAAGGGGGTGACCTTGGCACTTTCTTTGTTGGGTCCCTGAGAGGCACAGGGAGACGATGCCCGTGGAGCCTGAGTGCGAGTCCTGGGTCTGTGCCGCCCGGGCCGCAGGCTCATGCAGGGCCTTCCACAGGAGAGGAGCTGGGGATGCTCTCACACGCCCAGAACACTGTTTGGAGACCGCCCAGGCCCCCCATCAGAGACCCAGGCTCAGGCCGCTGGGGGCGGAATATAAGTGGTGATGTCACAGAGGCAGGGGGCATCTAGAACCCGAAGGGGTCCTGGCCTCGGCGCCATCTGCCAGCAAGGCCCCCTGGTAGGTCCGTTCCTCCTGAGACCGGCCTTCATGGACACGATGCAAACGCGCCGGCCGCCGGGAGCCGTTCCCGCCTAGGGCCGCCCGGGTCCCAGCCGCTCCCTCGCCTGCCTCTGAGCCTCCCCCTCCAGCCACTTCCATCCCAGCCTGGCCCCGGAGATGCCCACAGGCCTCCCGTCTGCCATCCCCGGGGGGACCTAGTCTGCTCAGAGCAGGCGGAGGAGGGCGGGCGGGCAGGCCGGCCATGGGGCAGGCGCGGCGGGCGCTGGCCCTGAGGGCGGTCCGGGCCTCCCTGGTCCTGCTGGCGCTGCTGGTGCCCGCGCAGGCCGTGGTGCGCGCCGTGCTGGACGGCAACGCGAGCACGGTGGACTTCGCCGACCTGCCGGCCATGTTCGGGGCGCCCCTGGCCCCCGAGGGCGTGCGGGGCTACCTGATGGAGGCCAAGCCGGCCAACGCGTGCCACCCCCTGGAGCGCCCGCGGCGGGCGGGCAACGGCTCCCTGGACGCCATCGTGCTCATCCGCCGCTACGACTGCACGTTCGACCTGAAGGTGCTGCACGCCCAGCAGGCCGGCTTCAAGGCCGCCATCGTGCACAACGTCTTCTCGGACGACCTGGTGCGCATGGCCCACGTGTACGAGGACCTGCGGCGCCAGATCTCCATCCCCGCCGTGTTCGTGAGCGAGGCCACCTCGCAGGACCTGCGGGTCATCCTGTGCTGCGACCGGTCCGCCCAGGTCCTCCTGGTGCCCAGCTACCCGCCGTGCCCGGACCTGGACTGCCACCCCGTGCTGGCCATCTCCTGGGTGCTGGGCCGCACGCTGGCCCTGCTCATGTCCACCTTCTTCGTCCTCCGGCACCTGTGGCACCGGCTGTGGGCCCGCTGGGCCTGCGGGCCCGCCCCGGCCGAGAAGCCGGCCGGCCTGCGGAGGGCCCAGGTCCGCACCTTCACACGGCTCAACGACGTGTGCGCCATCTGCCTGGACGAGTACGAGGAGGGCGAGCAGCTCAAGATCCTGCCCTGCTCCCACACCTACCACTGCAAGTGCATCGACCCCTGGTTCTCCCAGGCCGCCCAGCGCGCCTGCCCCGTGTGCAAGCAGTCGGTGGCCAGCACCGAGGACAGCTCCGACTCCACCGTGGACAGCTTCTGCGAAGAGGACCCGGCCCTGCGCGGCCGCCACGCCCCCATCTGGGCCATCCAGGCCCGGCTGCGCTCCCGGAGGCTGGAGCTGCTGGCCCGGCCCAGCCCGCACCACTCCTGCGCGGCCAACGCCGCCTCCGTGGGGGCGGCCGAGGCGGCCGAGGCCTCCGAGGGGCCCCCGGACCCGCTCTGAGGCCTGCTGACCCTCGGCTGGCAAGGAGCGGGGTGGGGAGGGGAGCGGTAAGTGTTTCTAGTCTGGAGAGAATAAAAAAAATGGGTTTGAAAGCAGTGTGTGCCCTGGCTGCTGTGGGGCCGCCCCACCTCTGGTCCCTCGTGCCACCCACGGGATGAAGTCCGGGGAGTCCGGGGCTGGCGGCCACGGTCGGTGGTGAGTGAGAAGACGGGGGCCGGCGGGGAGGGGGGTGTGAGGTCTCCGTGCCCGTTGGGGGCCACGCTCGGGCCTGGGCCTCCGTTCCAGTCCTGGGCACACAGCTGCTGACCCTGGATATGTTAATGCACTATTCCCTGAAATGTTTTTTTTTTTAAATAAACTTTTCATTTTGGAATCGTTTTAGATGTAAGATAAATAGCTAAAGTCCTAGCGCGTGCTCACGTGCCCTCCCCCGGCTTCCCCGGATGGCCACCTTGTCCGTTAGCACGGCGAGCTTGTCATAAGCGAGAAGGCAACACAGGTACCCGGGTGGACGAAACTCCAGCTTTTATCTGAATTCCCCCGTCATTCCACACACACGCACAGTAGAAAGAATGGAATAACGACTTCGCCCCATGTACCCATTGCTCAGATTCAGCAATGATCTCCTGTATCTTTTCCACTTTCACTCACTCCCCACTCCCTTGCTATTTTGATGCAAATCCTATTCCCTTCCCACCTCCCCATCCCCATCTGTAAACATGTCAGTTTGGGCAGATAAAGCAGTCGTTCTCAGCTGGGTGGGTGTTTCTCCCCCGGGGACACTTGGCAGTGCCGGGGATTTTGGCCACCATCACGGGGGCTGGCTGCTATCAGCCCCTCGTGGGCGGGAGCCAGGGATGCTGCCATTACCCTGCAGCGCCCAGGACAGACCCCCCGCACGGAGAATGACCGGCCCCAGCGTCCCCCGAGCTGAGGGGAGAGGCCTGGCCCTTCATGATAACACCTCTTAGAAAGCAGCCCCACAGATACAGCATCGTGTTCAAAACAGCGATCCCACTGGGGCACCGGAAAGTGTGACCCTTATGGTGTCCATTTCTTCGGGCTGTCTGAACCAAGGTGATGGGCTCCTAACTCTCTACGGGGGATCTCTCACCTCTCTCTCTCTCTCTCTCTCTCTCTCTCTCTCTCTCTCTCTCCCTCTCTCTCTCTCTGTGTGTTGCCTTGCACTTTATTTGGTGAAGCAACTGGGTCATTCGCCCTTTGGTGATGTCCTTGGCCGTCTGGGTTTTGCCAATGGGTGTCCCTGTGGTGTGATTTAACGTGTTCCTCAGTCCCCCGTGTTTCCTGTGAATTTCTACTTGGATTCAGAGACCAACTCAGATGTGGTTTAAATTTTTTAAAAAATATATATTTTATTGATTTTTCACAGAGAGGAAGAGAAAGGGATAGAGAGTTAGAAACATCAATGAGAGTCATCGATCAGCTGCCTCTTGCACACCCCCTACTGGGGATGTGCCCGCAACCAAGTTACATGCCCTTGACCGGAATCGAACCCGGGACCCTTCAGTCCGCAGGCCAACGCTCTATCCACTGAGCCAAACCGGTCCCGGCATGTGGTTTAATTAAAAAATATATATATACATTTTATTGTTTTTTTTTACAGAGAGGAAGGGAGAGGGAAGCATCAATCAGCTGCCTCCTGCACAGCCCCCACTGGGGATGTGCCCACAACCAAGGTACATGCCCTTGACTGGAATCGAACCCGGGACACTTCAGTCCGCAGGCTGACGCTCTATCCACCGAGCCAAACCGGCCAGGGCAGATGTGGTTTAATTCTATGGTGAACAAACAAGGTGCTTCTTCCGTCCCCAGCATGCCCCCTTTTGTAGAAGACCTGGGCCACATTAAGGCTCTTCTGAGATATGAGTGAGGGGCTCTTACTTGGTCACGTCACAAGCATGACCAGGGACACCATGGCTCTGAGACTGCAATAGTGAGAAGGAGGTGAGAGTACAGGAAGAGGTTTGGTTCAGTGGGTAGAGCATCTGCCTACAGATTGAAGGGTCCTGGGTTCGATTCCGGTCAAGGGCATATGCCCGAGTTGCGGGCTCGATCCCTAGTAGGGGGCGTGCAGGAGGTGGCTGACCAAGGATTCTTTCATTGTGCTGTTTCTCTTTCCCTCTCTCTTCCTCTCTGAAATCAATTAAAAAAAAAAAAAAAAAAAAAAGACTAGGCCTAGCCGAAGCCGGTTTGGCTCAGTGGTAGAGCGTCGGTCTGCGAACTGAAAGGTCCCAGATTCAATTCCGATCAAGGGCATGTACGTTGGTTGCGGGCACATCCCCCGTGGGGGGTGTGCAGGAGGCAGCTGGTCGATGTTTCTCTCTCATCGACGTTTCTGGATCTCTATCTCTCTCCCTTCCTCTCTGTAAAATATCAATAAAATATATTAAAAAAAATAGGCCTCATGTGTTGGACCAGAGCACAGAGAGGGAGGGGGAGAGAGAGAGAGGCGAGGGCAGGTGTGCAGGGCCTTATAAAGCTTGATGAGGAGTTCAGTTTTTATTTCGAGGGGCTGAGTAAAACCTTTGGAGGGTTTCAAGTAGCTAAAAAAAAAAAAAAAAATCCTATTAGCAACAGTTCCAGATCTCCATTTTATAAATGAGGCAACTGAGGCTCAGAGAGGCCAAGCCACTTGCTTGGGATCTCAGTGTGTGGGCGATGATGGGATTTGGACCCCGTAGTCTATTCTTGGTGGATTCACCAGTGGGTATTTGCATGTACCCAGAGGTTTGCTTTTTTACACACTGTAGTGCTTGGCTGGAGCTGAGAATGTCTGAGGTGGTTAGGGGAAGCCTTTCCTTTCTCTGATTGATGAAGGCAAAGATGGGCTCTCGGACGTAGCTCGTGTGTGTGTGTGTGTGTGTGTGTGTGTGTGTGTGCACGCGCACACGCGCGCACGCGCACGCTGCGGGCTGACCAACCAGAGCAGCTTAAACACCTGGGGCTTATTTGCTCATGACCAGGAATAGTCCGTTAGGGGAGGGCATGGAGGCCCCCTGGTATCCACAGCCCAGGCTCCTCCCACCTCATTGCCCCGCCTCCCCAGCAGGTGGGACAATACGATTGGAGGCGGTGAGAACGCATCAGGTGTTAGACGGTGGGTCAGACTGGACCTGGGTTCAGCAACCTCGGAACTTGAGTTCTGGGTAGGAAAGAATTCAGAGCCAAGCCTCAAACTACAAGAGACCGTCTACTTAGAAAATCTCAGAGGTGGAAGAAACGGGCTCTGGAAACAAGATGCAGAGGCAAAAGAAGGGCCCTTGAGCTTGGGAGTGAAGAAGGTATCGGTAAGGAGCACGGGCTGGCGGGGGTGGAAAGGAGGGGAAGAGGGGAAGACACGGGGGTGCTTCTGGGAAGGACAGCGCACTGGCCCCTCCATCCCAGGGGTTCTGAGTGTGGAGCTTTCAGGTGTGTCCTTTAGGGTCTAGGTCTCCGCTGGTTGGTCGGCCGGTCGGTGCCGGAACAGGGCGTCATTATCCAAGGCTGGTCCTGAGGTCAGGGGTGGCGTCGCTTGTCTGATTTGCCTGCTTTTCTGCGCCTGGAACTGAAATATAACGGAAGCCTAGATGTTGTCTCTAGGGAGGAAAGATCAGGGGCCTAAACAGAATGACTAGTGATGTGCTAGGAGTGGAAAGTCACCTGGGGGAGAGGTCCCACCCTGCCATTGTTCCTTGCTAGACAGCTGGGCTTCCATCCTGGTGACCTCCTGTGCCAGGCCCATCGTCCTCGCTCTGCTCACGTCTGCCTGGCTGCCCACCACAATACAGCAGCCTGAACGCCAGCCCTCACATGTGCATCCCAGTCAACAAGGATGAAGGGGTGAGGAAGGGCTTCCCTCCCCCTTTAAAGACACTTCACAGAAACTCCACACATCATTTTTTAAAATATATTTTTATTGATTTTTTACAGAGAGGTAGAGAGAGGAATAGAGAGTTAGAAATATCGATGAGAAAGAATCATCGATCAGCTGCCTCTTGCACACCCCCTACTGGGGATGTGCCTGCAACCAAGGTACATGCCCTTGACCGGAATCGAACCCGAAACTTTTCAGTCCACAGGCCCATGCTTTCTCCACTGAGCCAAACCAGTTTCGGCTCCACACATCATTTCTACTCATAACCCAGTGGTCGGCAAACTCATTAGTCACCAGAGCCAAATATCAACAGTATAACGGCTGAAATTTCTTTTGAGAGCCACATTTTTTAAACTTAAACTTCTTCTAACACCACTTCTTCAAAATAGACTTGCCCAGACCGTGGTATTTTGTGGAAGAGCCACATGTGGCTCGTGAGCCACAGTTTGCTGGCCACGGTCATAACCCATCGGCCAGAACCTAGTCGTGTGACTGTACTCCTGGAAGCTGGGAGATGTGGTTTTTATTCTGCATGGCCGGCAGTCCAGCTGAAAACCATGGGCTCTGTTATGACGGAAAAGGAGAGAACAGGTGTCAGCAGTGGCCAGCGCTGCCCGCCTTTTAGATTCCTTGACGGTCACAGACACCACAGGGGGCAGGAACCTCTCCAGCCACCTGACTTCTTCCCACCATTAGACCGTCCTGAGCCTCAGTTTCCCCATCTGTACACAGAGGTCAGTGACAGCGCCTGCCCAGAGGGTTCCGTAAGCATGGATGATTGTATATAGAGCCCGCACCTACGAAGTGACCTGTCAGTATTTGTCCATCAACTAAGTGACATGCCCACAGCCTAGTTGTAACGCTGAATGACCAGCTCTGTGATGGGAGGAACTCGGGCGCTGTGGTAACGCAAACGGAGGTGCCTGACCCAGCCCAGAGAATCTGGAAGGCTTCGTGGAGGTGGTGTCTTCTGAGCAGAAGGAGCAGGGGCCAGTGCTGTGACAAGGAAGATGATTCTGGAAGCTGGAACAGCATGAGCAAAGGCCCCAAGCAGCCTGGACTCGCATGTAGTGGGTGCTTAACAAGTGTATGCAGAGCCCTGCCCCAAACAGGGAATTTCCCCTCT